GAAAGGTCTGTTTCCATGCTGTACATCTCTATGGCTCTGTGAAGAGAAAATCAAAGTTAACGTTTCATGTCCGGTGACCCTTCCTCAGAACTGTCACCGGACCCGAAACGTTAACTTTGATTTCTCTTCACAGGTGCTGCCAGGCCTGTTGAGCTTTTCCACAGCTTCTGTTTTCGAGTCTTATTCTTGGGTTTTTTTTAACAAAAAACTACAAGTCCCAGGGTCCCTTGGAGTACCAGCCAGCTTCCGTGATAGGTTCACGGACACTGAGTGATAACATCCGGCGCATTGCAGAGTTTTAACATACAGTACACACAATTGGGCGTTAGACCATGCTAACTGCATCTAACAGTGCAGAGGTGGAGGGAGGGAGCTGTCTAAATGTGAGACGGGCGCCGAAGGAATCACAGAATTGCAGGGTGATGCATTCGGCTATTTCCCCATGGGAGGAGCTGCACCGATGTTGCTAGCACTGGCCGGAATATCAGTAACCAGCGCTTATCGAAGAATCAGCAGCGATCAGTTTGACGAAGTGGTGCAGAATCGTCCTGGGGGCACAGTCCAGCTGCCCACCGAGACGGGTTGAGGCATGCAATCACATTAGAGAAGGAAGGATCTGGAAACCTCCCTACATTTTGTCTCTCTCTCTCTCTTCCCTCTGAAAGTTTCAGTAGAAATCCGTACCCACCGCTCTTGGTGGAGAAACAAGAGATAGGAATCTGACAGTGTGGAGCCTGACCATGGGGACAGGGAGCCTGGTGTTATTCCTGCTGCTGGCTGGGCTGGTGCGAGGGGAAGTAGTCCAGGATTTTGACAAGTGCAGCTGGTTCTTCCAGGGTGGGATCCCTCCTCGCGGATTCGAGAGTCAAAACTGGATCAAAATCTGCCAGCGGTATAAGAATCATTATCACTATGCCACTCTGTACAACAGCGGGCTGCGGGTCCCAGTCTACTCCGCCTACAGATACCCCTGCACTATGGGCCAGAGTGCAGGCTACAGACCCAAACCCTGGTTTTACGAACCGCAGGTAAAAGTACCCGGACTAAAGTGCATCTGCATCTGGAGTACTGCGTACAGTTTTGGCCCCCTTACTTGAAGAGTTGCATTGCAGACAGCTCACGGAAGGTTATTAGATTAATCCCGGCGATTTTGAGCTTGTTTTATGAGGAGAGATTGAGCAGTTTAGGAATATGCTCGCTAGAGTTTAGAAGAATGAGAGATCTCATTGAGGTCTGTCAAATGCGAACGAGGACTGGTAAAGTCGAGGTAGAGAGGATGGTTCCCCCTTGTGGGAAAATCTTGAATGAGAGGTCATAGTTTTAGAATACGGGACAGCAGATTTAAAACAGAGATGAGGAGAAATCACTTCCCTCAAAGAATCGTGGATCTGTGGAATTCACTGCCCCAGAGTGAGGTGGATGCTGGGACTCTGAATTTTAAGGAGGAGACAGGTAGATTTTTAATTGGCAATGGGTTTCCAATTTATGTGAAAAGGACAGGAAAGAGGCAGAGATGAAGTCAGCTATGATTGAATTGAATAGCAGGGCTCGAGGGACTGAATGGCCTCCTCCTGCTACTAGTTCTTAAGCTCTGATTCCATTATCTGCTTGTTACAAAACGAGGGAAATAATGGAGTTGTGTGGGGATTGCTGATTAGCTGAGGGGTAATTACAAAAATCACATTTTGTTGTTCATCCTCATGAGTCGGTTCAATCAGTTCAAAAATTGATCACTTGGCTGCATTGCTAATACTGCACTGAAAAAAGCAGATTAAAAGTTTTGATTATAAATGCAACGGTTCAGTCTAATTCAATCCAAAAGTGCGTTCAATCATGATCTCCAACCATGAATAGGTTCAGATTTTTTATTAAAAAATTCAGAACAGTGAATGAAGAGAGAGTAAATACAGCTAAATTATTTACAGTGCTGGCAGTAAACAGTAATCAGATTTAAGACTTTTGGCGCTAAATGCTCAGGCCACTGCTTTTCTTAAGACTATAACACATAGGAGCAGAAGTAGGCCATTCAGCCCATTGAGTCTGCTCTGCCATTCAGTGAGATCATGGTTGATCTGATAATCCTTAACTCCGTTTTCCTATAACTCTTGTTTCCTTTACTGATAAAAAATTTCTCTCTCAGCCTTGAATATACTTAATGACACAGCCTAACAAGCCCTCTGTAGTAAAGAATTCCACAGATTCACTACTGTCTGAGAGAATAAATTCCTCCTCATCACTGTCTTAAATGTGTGACCCCTTATTGTTAGGTTATGTCCTGTGATCCTAGACTCTCCCATAAGTGGAAACAACCTCTCCACATCCACCCTGTCAAGTCCTCTACGAATCTTCTATGTTTCAATAAGGTTTTCTGTTAACCCTCCAATATTCCAATGAGTACAAATTCACTCTGCTCAACCTCTCCATACTCCATAGTTAATATCAGCCTAGTGAACTTTCTCTGAACTGCCTCCAGTGCCAGTATACCTTTCCTTAGATAAGGGGCCCACAACTGTTCAAAGTATTCCAGCTTCGTTGATATTAATAAACTGAATTTAGGTATATAACTGATCATTTCCAAGTTTGCACGGGGTGAAAAACTTAAAAGTACCGTGAAATGTAGGGAGCGTACTCGTAGATTTCAAGAGGACCTAATCAGACTGGTTGAATAGGAGCACAAGGCAGATGAAGCTCAACATAGAGAAGAGTGAGGTGCTCAGAAGAATGAGGAGAGATAATGGGAAATCCTAATGGGATGTAGCAACAGAGAGACCTGGGGGACATAGGTACACAAATGGTTGAAGGTGGTAAGGCCAGTTGGAAAAGCTGTTAAGAAGGCATACAGGATCCTGAGTTTTATAAATATAAGTGCAGATTATAATAGCTAAGACATTAGGGAAGAGAGTTCTGAACACTCACTGGTTAGGTGTCCTCTGGAGGATTGTATCCAATTCTGGACACAACAATTTAGGAAAGGTTATGAAGGCTTTAGAGAGTGTGCTGAAGAGATTTACAGTTAGGCCACTTTTGGAGTAATGCATTCAATTCTGGTCTCCCTGCTATAGGAAAGATGTCATTAAACTTGGAAGGGTGCAGAAAAGACTTCCAAGGATGTTGCTGGGGTCGGAGGCTTTGAGCTATAGGAAAAGCAGAATAGGCTGGGGCTTTTTTCCCTGGAGTGTCGGAGGCTGAGAAGTGACCTTATAGAGGTTTATAAAATCATGAGGAGCATGGATAGGGTGAATAGCCAATGTCTTTTTCCCAGGGCAGGGGAGTCCAAAACTGAGAGGGCATAGATTTAAGGTGAGAGTGGAAAGATATAGAAGGGACCTAAGGGGCAACTTTTTTAACGCAGGGGGTGGTGCGTGTATGGAATGAGCTGCCAAGAGGAAGTGGTGGAGGCTGGTACAATTACTACATTTAAAAGGCATCTGGATGGGTACATGAATAGGAAGGGTTTAGATGGATATGGGCCAAATGCTGGCAGACAGAACTAGATTAATTTAGGATATTTGGTCAGCATGGAGAGTTGAACTGAAGGGTCTGTTTCCATACTGTGCAACTCTATGACATATGATTGTAAGAATTATTACAGGGATGAGGTACTTTAGTTATGTGGATATGTTGGAGAGATTGGAGCTGTTTCCCTTGGAGAAGAGAAGGTTGAGAGGTGATTTTAAAGAGATGTTTAAAATCATGAGGGGCCCAGTCAAAGAGAAACTGTTCCCAATGGCAGAAAATATAAGAACCAGAGGAGACAGACAACAGGAGGAAAATGGGTGATTAGCATGTGGAATGCACTGCCTGAGATGATGGTAAGGGCAGATTCAACTGTAGCTTTCAAATGGAATGAGATAAACATCAGGAGAGAATAAAATCGGACGGCTATAGGAAAGGGTGCGAAGGTGTGACTTGCTGAGTTACTTTGGCAGACAGCCAGCACTGTCTGAATGGCCTGTTTCTGTGCTATAGTCATTCTGTAACCATGGTTTTATGCTTTGTGACTCTACTATTGTAACCTGTGTTGCCGTAAATAGCAAATGAATTAAAATAAATGAATACATCTTATAATAATGATTTATTGGTACAAAAATTAATTATAATAGGGTAAATTGAAGAAATGGCTTGAATTTATTTATAGGAATCTGTGGAATTCTTTACTGCAAAGGGCTTTCAAATCTACATCTTATATATTCAAGGTTGAGATAGCAAGATTTTTAATCTGTACGTGAATCAAGAGTTACAGGTAAAAGGCAGGAAAGTGGAGTTGAGGATTATCAGATCAGCCATGATGTCACTGGCAGAGCAGACTTGAAGGGCTGAATGGCCTACTTCTGCTCCTACCTCTTATGATCTTATACTTGGGGAAAAGAATTACAAGGATGTGAACTGGCAGTGAAACACATTGCTCCCAGATTCCTGGTGTGGTGAAGTTGGTGGGTATTGTCCCGTGTTTCGTCACTGGGTGGACCTGGTCAGGTAGATGAAGGTCGATCAAAGGAATAAATACTAGTGCTTGATGGTTTATCACACTTGCATCTGTCTTGCTTTCAGATCGACGATCCTGCTGAGGCAAGTGAAATGAAGAGTTGCACTGTGCCTTCCAGTGCCTTTCAGGCAGTTGAGTCAGATTACAAGAACGAAAAATATGAGCGAGGCCATCTGTACCCGTTCAAGCTGAATGATAAGGAGAGTGCCACAAGTACCTGTACCCTCACTAACGCGGTACCTGAAAGTCACAGAGCCAATGTCAGGTGGTTTCACCAGGTGGAATCCTTGGTCCAGAAGCTGGCACAGAAATGCCACCAGTCCAAACAGACAATGTATGTGGTTACAGGTGCTGCCAAGCCCACACAAATGAAAATGAACAACAGAGTGTCGGTGCCTGGTCTGGTCTGGACAGCTCTTTGCTGCACCTTTCCACAGGATCCGAATAACGATCCTTGTCCAAGTCGCAATGTGGTTTCAGAGGAAACGGACACACCGACATACAATAAAGACTTTTCTTTTGCATTCATGAAAAACATGGAACCAGAAGCAGATGCAGAGCACCTGACAGTGAGGGAGGTACAGGAAAGACTGGGAGTAGGCAAGATTTTTGACACCTGCAGGGGAACAACCAAAGACGATGAAGCAGAGACCTTCAAAGAGGTGGAAGCATTGGTGTCCAAATTGGCAACTATTACAGACGATCAGGAAGACAATTCTCTCCCGATACCAGCAGAAGAGAACCCAACAGCTGATAGTGATGATTTGGCAACACAGCAAACTGATGCACCGTTGGAACCAGCCAGCAAAGAGGTTGATAAAGTCTGCCAGTCCACCATCACTAATGCCTTGGCTCCAATTGGAAGAATGATCACCTTGGTCACCAACGGGATATCAGCCTTTGCCAGACTCATCACAACTGTTATCAACATTGCTCGAATTTTGATGGTGACCATTTTGAGAGTCCCCATGGGGATTATCCACGACTGTGCCGGCTGCCTGACCATCATGGTCAAGTACCTAATTGTCATGGTGGCTACGGTTCCCCAAGACATCTTGGGTATCGTGGCCAGCATTGTATCGGACACTGTGGGTATCATTGCATGGTCTGCCAGGTTGATCAAATATCTTGTCAGAATTCTGTAATTCTGTGCAGATTGAATGGTTAGATCTCCAGATAATACCAATTTGAGACATTCTCTATCAACAATCCCAACTGCCAGGATGCACCATTTACAACCAGTCCCACCCGCTACCCCCACCCATTAAAACACTTTCTCCTAAAACTCATAACCTTACCAACATCTCAATAAGTGTGTTGCTACTGAGTTCTGAAACCCAAGCAAATTCTGCCTGGGTCAATATTTATCCTCTAACTAACATCTCTAAAATGAATTTTTCTGGATAATACTTAGTTTGCTTACTTGGGCCCATTTGCTGTGCATTATATATATTACAACAGTGAGCACACTCATTCATTGGCTGAAAAGTGCTTCGGAACATCCTAAAAACTTGAAAGATCCTACATCTTTCGGTATTTGGGATGCAAATTCCCCTAGTATAGGCATTGATATTATTGGGTGATCAGTAATATAAGTGAAGAAGTCCTTCCTGTTTAACCATTGTTTGTTCTTAATCCAATATACTTGTGGAAATGAGGTATATAAATAAGTGACTGTTGGGTGTTGTATTTGGACAAAGCAGGTGCTACAATACATGTAGGAAATGGAGCTAAACAAATCCCTTACAACCATGAGGTCCTCGAAAAGCACTACAATATTGTGGCTTCCTTTTCAACATGATTTGTAAAACCTAAGCGTGTCAGTTGTCCAATGAATGCTTAGTTTCCGTCCTATTTTGACGGTGTTTGAGAGGTGGGGGCTTTGAAGCTAAGTGGGTCTGCTGGGTCAGACATATCTGGTTCTCAATTGTTGTAGCTGGATTCAACCATTAGTAGCAGGCTTGACAGTCTGATAGATAAGCCAGGTAAATCAAACAGTATTCCAGAATACTGTCACCATGGTCCCGTTAATAATCCAAGACTCACAACCTATCTTGGATCATTAATAGACTTTAGACATGTGCAGAAAATTTTCACGCATTTCTGAGCATTTTAACAGGTAAAACAATCCCAGTTGGGGAATCTGTTTAATATCCTGCTATTTGCAGTGCTGGTGCAGTGGCTGCAACTGTTTAAACCCAACCTGTATGTGAGTGGGACACCCAGAAGTTTGAGTCTCCCAACTTGCAGCTGAGCTCTCCCCGAACTCACAATCTCCAACAGCTGGAAAGAGTAGGCAGTAATTGCACAGCAACACCATCACATCCAAGAACCCCCTGCAAGTCCCTCTTGGGTATGCATTGTTCAGTTCCTTTATCCTCGCTGAATTAAAATCCTGGAACTCCCTCCCTGACAGCACTGTGGAGCAGCTTGACCATACAGTCTGTAGCATTTTAAGCTAATGGCTCACGTGCACCTTCTCAAGGGCAGCATTGGGCAATAAATACTGGCCTTCCCAACAGCATTCAGCATCCAAAAAGAAATGTTAAGACATTTGGAGATAGCCTGTGCACTTCATTATCAAATGAACAAAATTGCTGCGGGGCAAGGCTTCAGTAGCTATGGTCAGAAACAGAGTCATGGATTTTAATGCATGTTAATGCACTTGATTGACTAAGTGTGACACTTACACACATGAAGCATTCTAACTCATATAATTACGTATCGAGTCAAGCTTTGTAATTCCAAACTATTAGCAATCATAAACACAAAGCAGTGACTGTTTGGAGCAGGCTGCCTAGGTGAAAGCTAATATTGCAAATTCAAGTGGCTGCATGTTGACAGAAAATGAGATTGAAATGTGTGAGAGTAGTGTTTTAAGGTTTATTGGAGTTGGGAACTGGTCAGATGGATGACAATGAACTCTCCTGATCCTCGACCTTTAAAACGATTCTTTGTCCTACATGATCACTCCTTATACATATATTTGTACAGGAAATGGGTTTTTCGGTGACTGTGCTGGGGTCGTGTTGGCAAATTCTTCTCCACTTTATTTTTGTACGTGGTACTGTCAAAAACTTCCACGTTAGGAGTAGTAGATATTTAGAAAACATGCTTGGTTTTACAGCTATCTTTTATCATTGTAATTACTTGCAGGGACTGAACTCATGCCAGAATTTTTATGTGTGCACCAATCACCAATGCTGGGTGTTCACTGGATGTTATGCATTTGGATTATCAGAAGGCATTCAGTCGGAAGCCATGTGGCAACTTGTTACAACTGTGCATAGGCTACGGCAAGACTATACCTGGGATATTTTATGCAGTTTTGCCCTCCATAGGTCCAGCAGAATGGTCTAGGCGATGTGGGGGTTGGCCAACGATAAGAGGCTAAGTAAATTGGGTTGATATTCCCTGGAGTTTAGAAGAATGAGAGGTGATCATATTGAAACAAGATTCTGAAGGGGCATGACAGGATATACAGTGAGAGATTGTTTCTGCAGGTCGAGGGATTGATAAAACGGGGGCACAGTCTCCGGGTAAGGGGCTCATTTTTTAGGACCATGGAGGTGAGTAACTTGGTCACTCAGATGATTGTGGCGCCTGCATCTTTTGATTTCCCATGGAATCAGGGAATGTTGAGAGCAGACGGGAAAGCGGAGTCCAAGCCATTATGATATTGAATGGCGGAGCAGGCTTGACGCTGAATGGTCTACTTCTGCCCCGACTTCCTATGATTTTACAAATCGTTGAGCAGATGATTGATAAGACACAGCAACACTTACGCACTGAACTCACATAACTCAATCGGAGCAACTTCTCCGTTTGTGATAAGGAGCGCATTACACCAGCTCACAATTAGTACTTGCCTTAAAAATGTAACTTTAAATTATCCTGCTGCATTTTGCAGTCTTTCCTGAATCGAACTGCCTTCGGTTTAAGCAAAACTGACTGTGCCGTAGTTCAGTGGGAAGCTTCCGATTTTATATCCCAGCACAGGTCTTGAGCCCAAAATTCCAGGCTGACATTCCAGTGGCAGTACTGAGGGGCAGCTGCACTAGTGGAGGTGATGACTTTCAGACAGGGTTTTAAACAAGACACCCTATACCTCATTGGATAGATTTAAAAGGTTTCATTCCTTGCGTTAACAAGGTGTAGAGCTGGATGAACACAGCAGGCCAAGCAGCATCAGAGGAGCAGGAAAGCTGCTGG